CTCCCCTACCCAACCGTTCGTGAACGATTTTTATCGCAGAAAAAAGTGAGTCCAGATGTCGTCCGCGCGTGCTCCAGGGCGACCTGGAACTCGCGGCGGCGATACTCGCTTGCAGCCCTGCCCACGAAGGATAGCACTATAAAATTTATAGGTGCGTAGTCCGCTGCAAACTGAACGAGATGTCGGATCACTTCCGGGTTGAGGTGGGGTCCCTGCTGCCCAACGTCAAGAACTCCGTGCCAGTCAAGAGCAACAACAAGCTCTTTGGGCGGCACCGGCCTTCCAGGCGGAGGTGGTGGCGGCGGGGGCGCAGGCGGTGCCCTCCTTGGTGGCGAGCGGAATCGCGAGCCAGCTTCGGGAGTTGCAGCGCTAGCAGCAGCTGCTTGAACGACCTGCGGAGGTGGCGGCTTGACGATGTACCCGAATTGTGGCGGGTTTGAGCTCGATTTGCTTCTGGGTTCGGCCTTGTTCAAACCTCGCGGAGGTGCCTTGTACCCGAATGCACTCTGAGTCCGAACTGGAGATCTTGCCCGTGGCGGTGACTTCCTCGGAATATCTGCTTTTGCCGGCACCGAAGAAACTGCCTTGGGGATCTCCTTGGGCAATGGGGGCTTGCTGCCAAAGATGATCTTGGGTGCGGCCTTTGGAGGCGGCGGTTGAACTGCCCCAATTCTCCGGCTGTGCAGCGCGATGGGCTCGGAGTGAGTCGGCGCCTCGTAAACGCGCCGAGGCACGTATGCTGACCTGCCCGTCCTGATGGACTCCGCGTCTTGCGGCGGTTCCTCGTCCGAGCTGTAGGCGTCGAGGCGGAAGTGCTCCGCCGGCGCCGGGCGACGGTCAGGAGACCGTGAGCGCGAGCTCGTGGAGGACCTTCTTGGGGGGTCCCTCCACGTCTCGTCCGCGAGCAGGTACGGATCGGCTTGGCGAAGCTGCCCTGACGTCCGTTGTGCTCGCCGATGAGGTGCCGCCTCACGTGGCTGTGATGCCTCCCGAACCAATACCCAGGTGCCGTGTTCGTCAAACCTAGTCACAGGGTAGATGCTATTCTGTGGAGCCAAAACGATGGGCCGTGTGGCTAGGGAAGTCCTGGATGGCCTTCCCTCCCGCGCAAGCGCGGGTTCAACACTATGGGCCCGTTGTTCCACAGGGGCAGCAGCAGTTGGTCCTCGTCTCGGTGATGATGATGGAGACCTCGACCTTCGTGGCGATGGGGACCTCGATCTTTGTGTTGACCGTTCCCTGCTGCTATCCCGCCGCGTTTCCGCAGCTTTAGCGTACACCCCGCGAAGAGTTGACTTTGCGGCTTGTCTTTCCTCTGCAGATGGCCGAATGCGAGGCAAAGGAGTGCGCGAATCTTGCAACCAGGAGGAAGCTGATGGAGGCGTCGGAGGACGAAGCCAGTCCGCTGCACTGCTCGCTGCTCCCGCCGCGCCTGAGGCTGCGGCTTGATCCTGAGATGGCACACCTTGCGGCAAGACCACTCCTGTGGTTTCAACCAATGCGAGACGCTGCTGATAAGCGTTGTCCGCGGCCTGGATCACGTCGAAGGCTTCTTGGTCAAAATTCCACAGGTGCCAACTATCCAGTGACTCACGCCAGGAAAAGAGCGCCTCGACCTGTTGCTTCGAGGCGTCCGCAAACCTGATCCACCGGAATCGTCTGTTCTGCCGCTTGTACTCGTCGACGACGATCTGTTGCAGAGTGTTGTACAATCGGGCACGCGGCCCTTTCCCACCGCGTGTGCCGCGGTGAGGGCCGACTTCCATGTGCGACCAACAGGTCGCAGTCACGGAAGGGTTTGTTTACCCGAAAAGCGTTACGGCTGATAACCACTCAAAGGAGAGGGAAACACAGTTTTGCCAACAACGGGGGAACCCGGGACCTTAAAAGGAACGAACCCCTCCGTGACTGCGACCTCTCCCTTAACCTTGTGGGAAGCGCGAGCAACGCGCTCTTTTCAGCACTTGAGCCAAAGCAGTGATTGGATCATGCTCTGGCATTGACTTGAATGTACAACATGCAACTGACTACATGAGAACCTACCTCATGTACCTCTGGGCCATAAATGTCATCGTGATAATTGACTAATCGAAAACGAAAATGAAAGTATTGCCGGAGAAAGCTGTGGGATTTCAGTTTTCCTTTTGGTTCCCCTTTCAATACAAACAAGCAAACACACACACACACACACACATGCCACCAGGGTGGTTGAGCTCTCCCTTACACATCTAGGGCTCTGTGACTGATGGGAAAATTGCGTTCCGAAAAGTACGGTCCCCTATTTTCTTGGCTCAGCAAGAGTCCGAAAGGTGCACGGAAGGACGTGGCCAGTTGAATCCCAGGGTTTCTACGCCTGTGATTCCAACATGTTTCGAATGCTGCAGACCTGTGCCACGTGGGTTCCGCATGAAAACAAGAACGCTCATTTCACTTGCTTCCTGTCGCCTTCAGAGCTTCACGGTGCAGCCAAACTGCCTCTGATTCTTCGCATTGCTGGTTCTAGCTGAATGTTTGCGTGATGATAAGTGCTGAATGGAGTAAGCCCTAAAACAGGGCGAAGCTGCGAGCGCACGCTCGACCCCACACCCTGTTCAAACATGCACATGCATGGGATATATATATATATATATATATATATGTATTCATATACAAATGTTCCTTGTAAATGAAGGCGCAAGCCCAACAAATCAGTTGAAGACGGTGGGCAACCTGCTGTGGGATTCACACTGCCAAAGCTTTTATCCCTTGCCACCCCAAGGGAAGAGGGCTCGTGAGAAGAGAGGCAACATTGGAATTCGAGGTGTCGGCTTTGCCCGGCTCAGCACTCGTGCCACCTTTGGGTCGTCGAGCTTCTGCAGGTTCAGCAAGGGATAGCCCAGATCCAAGACTTCGCGCGTTCCCGCGCCTGGGCGGGATGCAGGGCTGGGACAGCACGGCAACGCAAGGCCATACTAATACCTACAGCAGCCCAAAGCGGAGCATACTGGTCATACGAATCGACAAAAAAGAATACAATCATTATGGCATGTTATGGCTAGCGGTGACATGAATCAACGCGGAAGCAACTCGCATACTGTAGGCGCAGCCTGGCCCTGTGCTCGCGAGGCTGGGCCTGGTGGCCAAACCACCAATCCCGTACCAGCCAGCCACAAACAAAGCCCTCTAGCCCAGCCACCAAAACACCTGCCCCCAAACGTGTCCAAGTGATGCTAGAGATGCCCCCCACCAATCAACCAACCGTTCCGAGACGATGCTACTGCATGGGTCACCACATTTCCAAAAGCCCTGACGATGGGGAACTGCTTCTTCGACTATTGGAAAGATGAATTTGGGTATTCCTCTACAAGTGATAAGTGGCTTCCTCTTGGGGTAAGGAACCCCCTAAGACAAACACATCAACAAACTCTGAGCAACCAACGAAAATCGAGCCGATGCTCTGAGTCTGACTTGGCTTCTGCCAAGGCGCTGGTCGGCAGGCTCACCGGCATCACCACATCAGTCGACGCCATGATCCTCAGGACCCAGTCGTCTGGGCAAGTCGCGTTCTAGCTGGCTCCAGTGGAGCACACATAAACCAACCCGTAGCCTGTGTGAGACCCAAGGTGCATGTGGTATGCCATGTGTGACTCCAACAAATGTTCAAACTTGTTGGTTTTGAATCCCACGGCTCATTTGAAAGGCCTCAGCTTGGCAAATAATGAGGTGCTTGGGCGCGCCTGCAAGCCCGAAGTGCCTGACAGTGCTTCCGATTTGCTTGGCCCCAGTCAAACTGAATCCAGCAAACCGATGCGAAGCTCTCCCGCCTTGGAACTCCCCAAACAGGGCCCGTGAAAAAAGGAAAGGTCTACCCTCCCACCAGCTAACATGGAAGTGCACAAACCCCTGTAGAAAGACTACTTTCCTCTTGGAAAGGGCCTTTTTGCACTTCCATGTTAGTTGGTGGGGGGGGTAACACACTTCAAAGGAGTTGCTTCACCATGAACATATACGTCACGCCTTTGAGGGCCCCAAGCACCGCATGTCCCCGCTTCCATACCAGTTCGGCTGTCGCAACGGAGGTCACCTCACGCGAACTGAGAACGCGGCAGGTAAGAAGTAAGCTAAGCGGCTGAAAGCAGGGCCAAAATTGCTGCAGGCACACACACACCGCTTCCAAAAGGAAGAAAAGGAAGAACTCATGCCCTGCGAGGGACCCAAAAGGAAAAACCAAGTTGAGGTTGGCACTCTGCTTGGCTCTTGCTGACACATGTGCCGTGCGAGGCTCTCTGTATTTAGGCAGCTGCCATGGTATCCACGATCAGTAAGCAACCCGAAAACTATCCCAAAACCACAAGAATCCAATCCTGAATCCACATCAAAACGAGCCTTTGCAGATCCAATCTAACTCCCACCCAAGCTAGCCAGAACCCACCTTGAGACAATCTTCAATTAGCCTCCCTGCATGATTCAATCCTAAGAAGGACATTCAGCAACCCCACTTCGAACAAAACCAACCCAAGCTTTAGATCTTTATAACCCCCCTCCCACCAAGCAATCCATGGGTCGACGGGGGGAGGCAACACCCGTGACGGGAGAGCGGATGCGGAAGAACTCCACAGTACAGTGCCACAAGGAAGGGGGCTGGCCAGTTGTCGCGTCTATTGCGCTCTCAGACCTGGGCTGCCCTCAGATCCCCTGTTAAAAGTTTAACTTTTAGTTGGTTAAATGGAAACCACCACTAAACACTAAAAGGCTAAACAGCTAAGGGGATGGCTGGGAGCCACCAGAAGAAATGCTGCAGAGCTGCTGTGCCAGCTGTCATGTCAAATTCCATTTCCACACTGCTGTGGATGAACGAAATCCTGCACCGCTTGGAAACCATGGGATTGTTGGTATTTATCAGGGACTCATCAGAAACCAGGGTTTCTTAGGTGCTGCGAAACGGATTTTGTCCAATTATTAGGACGTCAGGAGAGGGAACTGGGGGAAACTCCTCTCACCCCGTCCCAACTCGTTTCCGCCTGGACGGCTTGGCCTGCGCCTCGGGCGGGGGGGATGCCCCACGATTCACTGAAGCCACCAAATCAGTCGGACACCCGGAGTCTCCGGAAACCTCTAGGGAAGCAGAATACCTGCGGCCCAGAATGCTGGACCAAACATGGAGAAAAGCAGTATCCCTCTGCAATTTGATTGCAACTTGTTGCCGGTGCTGACCTAAAGGACAACTTGATGGTTCGGGGGGAAGCGTGGCTTTGAACTCCTCATGACTGGCTGAAATTCCCTCCGCCCCAGACTGCAAGGTAAAACGAAGGAAACCCAAAATGGCGATGGGGGAAGAAGATTGGTCATTCCACTGCAGACCAACCTTTCGAGGAATGTCCTTTTGGGGGACCCGCCAATTTTTGCGATCCATGCAAATTCTGCAGAGGGGAGCAAGTCTGAGAAACAGCGCCAGGTGTTTGAAGACGCCGCACCTGAATGGTCATCATCTCTCGCTGGACCTCTCCGAGCTTCAGCCTGGCGGTCTAAGCGGGGCAGTCCTGAGTCTCAAGCACCAAACTTGGGTGACCCGAAACCGGTTCTGACAAATGGGCTCTGGGATTCTTGCAAATGACTTGATTGTCCTTTGGTGCAAGCGAGAACCCTAGGGTTGCATGACATCTACGGAGAATTCCCGAGTTTTCGGTACCAATTGCCTCCAAGGAAGCAAAAGCGCGAGCCCGGAAAATGGTCACTTTGCGTCTTCTGAGAGGCATCTGCACAGTCTCCGAACTCTTCTTGACCCATCGTCCTACCAAACAATGCAGGAACAAGCTGACGGTGTAGTCATGTCGCTTCTTTCGCAATAGTCAAAACCAGCACATACTTTCTCGGCCAAACGCGAAGCGTAAACGCAGGGAACCAGTTTACAGTCCTTAGCCGAACGCCTACCCTGCATGTCTCCCCCCCCCCCCCGATTGGTCCAGCGGCCAGCCCCGAAGTTGCGCTCAGTGCTGCACGTGGGCAATCGCTGGCTAAACCCCTTGCTAGTGTAGAAGCGGGCGCGCCTCAACCATTGACTGACCGTCGGAGAAGGAAAAAAAAAACATGACTTATAACAGGCGGCAAGTGTATAGACAGCATGTTTTCTGTGGCTGCCTCATTGTCAACTGTCCGAGATCCCCAAACCACATCTCTGCCCAACCGTCTTACTGCACTGCACACGGACAGGCGTTGGAAAAGCAACCGGCAACGTCCACGTCTGGCTCCCAGAGTTTCGCCTGGCTTCCTCGATCTCTCGGCTGCGGGCTCCCTCCTCCTTGAGGAAAGCTTGCTCGTCTCACAAAGCCCACCCTCTAGAAAGGCAAAGGAGGAAAATGGATGAGGAGCTCTCAACCCGCCTCGGATACCTGAACTAAACTGGCTTCGCCCTGGTTACACGGCGGATGGGAAACTCAGCTCAACAAATCTTGAACGTCGTGTCGCACGTCTTCTGCATGGTACCCTCCCTTGAAAGAAGGATGCAGTGTTCCTGATAGCACCTGGACCTGAGTTGAGGTTGGCACTACAATGGGCTCTTGCTGACGAATGTCTTGCTCCCCAAAAGGGGATGTTCTTGTTAGTGAGTGCAGTGTCCCGCCCAAGCAAACCATAAACTTAGACTACTGGTAAAATTGACCAAACCTCCTGCCGTCCGGTCATGTCGCCATCCGTCCGTCCGGTCATGTTGCCCCTATACCCTCTCCTGCTGCAATCTTTCCAGCTCGTCTGCTGCTTTGGCCTGGGCATGGGGCCAGCGGCACAGGTATCGCAACCGGCAGACTTCCAAAACGAGAACGCTCTTAGCATTTGCAGACTCCTTTTCTCAATAGGAAGAGTCTTCCAAAGGCTACCTCTGTTGAAAGGCCTCTTGCCAACAGGAGTGCGAAGTTGGCATACGCCTTGCAAGCTGATAAATCACGGCCCATCTATTCTTGTTCCTTTTCAAATATGGTCCATTGTGGGTTGATCAAGGACTACTTCTCAAAACCCATGAAGCAGTCTCAAACTACTCAGGCTTCCAAAGCGTGCCAAAACATGGTGCCTGACTCAAAACAACCAAGCCAGGCGCATCGTTGCGTAAGTGACGAACTGGGTCCGGCGAATCTCGCATGCTCTGTGCTGCCCTCAAATCCACTCCCCCGCTAAAAGTGGAACTTTTAGTGGGTGAAGTGGAAACTACCCCACACTCAAAAGCTAAAAGGATCTAAAAGGCCAAGGAACCGGAGGGCTGGGGGATCCCCACGGGCTACGCCTTGGCTCCACGCCAGTTGCCCCTCGGTGCCTGTCAGCTCCTCCTCCAGGTCTTGCGCGCGCGCTCGGGCCTCAGAGTCTCACATGCTCCACGGCCGGCCTTGGGCCTCCCAAAATGGATGTGACCACAACATGCAACTTGTTGCAATAAACAAATGGGGTGCTTTGTGTAGCAAACCGTCTAAGGGGGTCCCAAGGAGCTCATGGTTGTTGTCGTTTGTTCTTTTTGAATGAGGGAATGACCCTTTCAAACCATCCGCTATTGTATCCTTTTAGGGAATCCCTAGGTTCATTCCCAACACCCTAGGCTCGAGCACCAGCAAGTTGTTCGCTTTGGCCCCCTCCTCGCCACGATGGTCATGCATCCTGTTGTAAGGCAGCCCTTGTCAAACCAAAGAGTTGGAAGGCCTGAAAGGTACAAGCCCAGCATGAATAGAGTGCACATTTGCCAAGCTTTTGGCGGGACCTCTCGTGTTTCCAGCCGACGCATCACCAAGAATCACTTCCACATCGGGTTCATAGATTGAGCCCTTGGCGCGGTCAAGCTTGATGCTGAAAACAAGATGGCGAACTTGCCTGCGTGCGATAAACAGCTAAGCTCAATTGAACATCAAGAAGCCTAGAAACGACTGAACATACCATTGGTACGCTAGAACTGCTCACTGCGTATTGCGGATCGCATGGCAATCCTCAGCTTCAGAACCAGCAGAGCTAATCATTACATCCAAGTCAAACACGGATATCCCCAAATATCCCCAACACGCAGACGCAGATTCTGTAAATTCAGAAGGTCGAGCCTGAGGTTCTTCTCCGCGTTTGGCCCTTCGAGCGAAGCTGACGAGCGACATCGAGCCGCTTCCGAGCACCACGCCACATCCAAGGCAGCCGTGCGGTCCTGCAGGGACCAACCCCCTGAGACTCACATACCTCAGGGTCTGCCCGTACAGCCCAAAAAAAGCTGACAAGGCGCTTGGCCAAAAAGGAAACAGACCACTCTCAAGGTCAGAAGCTCGCAACATCTTGGTAGCATTGGGGGGGCTTGGCTTTCTCTGCTCTGGATCTGAGCCTCAGGAAAACATACAGGACAGGGTTCCATTGACTGAAAGTCCTGACGAAAAATAAGCGTGCGCCGAGCATCGCCTAGCCCTTGAAGTTTCAACTTGAAGGACACTCAGGAGAAACTGAGGCCATTGAGCCCAACACCTCGGGCCACCAAAAAAAATCAGTTGGATGCTCTGCTTTGATCAACTTGATCCTCAGCATGTATCCAGGAGTTTGTCTTGGAAGGCGACCAGGGGCCTCTGGCATCTGACTGTCAGCTTATGGGAAGATGAGACCATGGCAGTTTGCCTCCCAGGTCATTGAGCTCGACCCGGCCTCCAGCATCTTGCGACGGGAGCTCTTCGTGTGCTCCTCACAGCAACGGTGGCGTCGGCCGCTTCTATTTATCGAACGGCGTGCCTTAGAACTCCCATTTGCTGGCCCTATCAAAATTAACACAATGATCATGCCTGGCCCCCAAGCATGATTGGCCATGCTTCTTCAAAACAGGTAGCCCCAAAATGCGCACGTCACATGCTGCTCTGTTTGCCTGGAGCAGCGCTCAATAATTGCAATCGAATTGCACCACGGACGGCACAACTTCCCAATGTTCGAGCGCAACCACATCGAGGTCAAGATCGCTTCATCGCTTCAATGATGGCTGCCAGTGCATTCACCTCAAAATGGGTAACCTTCAGAAAGCCCTCAAGTGCTATCCTTGCCCTCCACAAGCGTAACAGGTCTCCCAGCCCCTGGGGTCATAGACATGGCGACCATGTTGGCCGATACGCGTGGGATCGGGCACCTGCTGAGGAGGTAGAGGAATAGGGTAATCCAAACAAATTCGTCATTGAAAGGATCCAGCGTTTCGGGGCCCTGCAAGGGGCTACATGCTCTCACCCGGACTCTGGGAGCTAAGTTGGGCACCAAATCCGAGCAGGACTTCTGAATCTCCTGCGCGGAGTTTGACATGGCGCAAGCGGGATGTTCTCAGGTGAAAGGCCAGGCACTGGGATAGGGGCGGTATAATTTTGAAGGTACACCCTCAGTTGAACGTCTTCCTGTCTTTGCTTTTGCCTCCTGGCGTCTCTCTCCCAATTTATCCGTCGGGACTCCTTGGCCCCCGAATTACCCGTCTCAGAGATCCCCGCCTCAGTCTGCGCTTTCAAGGTGGAGAGCTCGTGCTGCTTCACGGCGACCTAGGCTCAGTTTTCTGAGCCGAGCTGGCAACAAAACAACCTGAAGCCCGGCTGAGAAAAATGGGGGTGTGTTAAAATCGGGGCCTTCGATGGCTTCAGCCCCCAGGCGAAAAATATTAGCAAAACCCTGAAATTTGGAGCGCCCACTGCTGCATCAGTGGAAACCATCAGGATCCAACACTGGTCACTTTCCACAAGACATAATGTATGTGCCCACTGCGTTCCAGCATTCACGCAAACACTTCGCAGGCAATAACTATGACAAAAAGCACAAGCACACAACAGGTAGGCGCGCACGCTGGCATGTTCCATCATGGCACTGCGCCAGGACAGGATGACGGCAAAGCTACGCAAGCAACTGCCCAGCACATCAAAACAGAACACGACCATCGGCGCAAGCGCGTGCTACATTGACATATACATTGATTTGTGCGCTCGCGCGACAGCAACGCGTTGCATATTTCTGCCGCGGGCGTGTGTTGAGTGGGTTAGTCAACAAGGAATCTAATCACATGCCTAGCCTACCAGGACATGCAATCTTTACAAAGCTCGCGTTGCCACACTGTTATGGTTGCAACGAAGGCTTGACAAGGGCATTAAGAAGTACGACCAAGTAGCTTTCAGTTTTCTCTATCTTTACCCTCGGCCACACCCCGACCCACACACACACACAGCAGGGCATGCCAAAAACGGCACTGCTGCCGCTAAGGCTGATCAGCTCGTCCAGGGCCTGGCCGCAGAGCTTCACTCACTCAAGATACTACTGATGGGATTACATGAGGCTTTCAAACTTCTGGGTGCTTTTGATGGGTTGATGGGTGCTTTGAGCGAGTAAAGGGCAGCAGGGAAACCAGTTCGCTTGTTGGGCCCGGGTTGCAACACGGCATGCAAAGCTTCTTCCAAAGCCACCTGGGCCTCCACGCACAGCAAAATCTTTTGAATGGCGCAAGGGGCACTTGTTCAATAGCCAGCCGGGCTGACATTGACCCGAGCCCACGCCAACTGACATCTTCTTATGGCCCCGGCTACTTTCAGCATGGCCATGTTTCCCAAAAAACAAGCGGAGGGCGGAGAACTAAAGGAAGGCGGCAGGCGGCAGGCTGTTCACTGCATGCGGGAGACGGCTACTGGTCACTGAAGTGAGGCATGCTGCAACTGCGGCACACGGTGGATGCGGCGGATCTGTGTAAAGAGCTTCCACAAAGCAGCATGATTCGTCAGGGTCTCCTCCAGCTTGATCACAAATGCAGGCCCGGGCCGCCCTCGCCTGCGCTTCCACCTGGCTGCGACAGCTTTTGCCTTTGGCTTGGGTTTGGCCTTTGCGCCACGCTTGTACTCATCCATGGATCGGAACCATTGCCAGCCATTGGACATTTGAATTAACTGCTTGACAAATTCTTCGCAATGCACAGATTCTGCTTCCTCGAAATCACAAACGATGACAAAGTCGTCAGCCAAACTTTTCTTGTGGCATATGATGCCCTCTAGGCGTCCTCCTTCAGCAAACTTGCACCAATTTTGCTTGGAGATGCAGGCTAGACCGAAGGCTGCAATTGTGCAAGCAATCTTGCACATCTGAGACCTGAGCATGCGTGCAACTCTCACCCATTGCAATGACCTTCGTCCCAACAAATTGCAAACACACAAGAATCAGAATCATAATACTTAACCAAACATGAAAATCCGCCAAGGCTGGAAAAGGCACGTTCCTCCTCGCTTCGAAGCCAGTTCATCCAGACTATCTAGAATTACAAGATGAGACTGGGCACAGAACGTCATAAAACCTCCGTCATGATCACCCACACGGCGCACACGGAAGTCGATTCCTTGAATGTCAGGCATTGGACATGCTTCCTGGCAGGCATCTACAAGCTTCAAACGCTTCAAGCTGAGCAAGAACTTTGCCATGTCCTCACTTGGGTCGGTAGTCGCATCACGTTGGGAGAAATTGTTGCCTCTCTCCAGCTTGGGCTTCTTGAAGGCCGGCCCTCTTGGGTTCGAATGTCGATGCCGAGCAGCTTCTCGATTGTTGCTCTTGATCAACTGGCTGCGAGTTCGAAAGCGCACCAAGCCTGGGGCGTCAGCTGCTGGTCGTTCGCCTGTGCACTCAGCGGCTTCGCGTTGCGTCAGGCCAGGCAACACAGACGATGCTTCGCCTTGCGCGTTGTCACGGTCTCGTTCAGAGCGTGCGCGCATGGCCCTGAGTTGCCGAGCACGAAAGGCCCTATCACTGTCATCGCGACTTCTCTGGGCTCCAGGGCAACCCTTCCTGCGACCTTGGCTGTAAACTCGAAACCGTGCCCCATGCCGTAACCTCCACGCCTGCAGAAATTCTCGAGCAAACTCGGTCATCTCCAAGCCCTGTGCAGACTGCTTGGCAATCTCTTCAGCACATGATGGTCCGTCCAGCTTGACTTCCAAGAGGTCACTATAGGAAGTTCCAGTGCCCTCCAGAGGGCCTGCATGGCTCTGCAACAAACGCTTGCCGTGTGCGTGTGCTCGCTCAACTCGACAGCTCCCATCTTCCTGGGCAAGGTAGAAAGAGATGAGCTCATGCCAGGCCGAACATCCAGAAGAACTCAGGCGCTCCTCTGCCCAGCCAGTTCGGTTGTCAGAGATGTCTCTGGCGCGAGCCACGAGTCGGTGCAGTGAGGACATAAAGTCGCGAAAGGCTCGGTGAATGGTCTGATCATGAGTGATCTTGAGGCCCTCTCGCAGCAGCTTGCGGACGCGGATTTCAGCTGAAACCTCGAAGGTTTGCCATGTCTGGACACCAGCCGCTTGTTCAGCTGCTGCCTCATTGACTGAAAAAACACTGAAGCACATCTCAAGGCTTGAAGGAGGAAATTCACACTGAAGTCTTTCCAGCATCAGCTGGACCACAGTGGCGCACGCCTGCAAGGCCTCTGAGTAGTCACGTTTTCTGGTCTTGGGGTCCCACAAGAAATGCTGACTTTCTCCATAGAAGATGGGCCCTGCTTGCATGGCTTGGCGTACCACGCAATGCGTACAATCTCCTCATCTCCCGGCTGCATCTCGAGGATGCGGCCATCCAGGAACAGCCTCCTCAACCTGTCAAGGCCAAATGCGCTCTGCGCAACGCACATGCTGTGAGTCACATGAGCCAACCGATCACCCTTGCAACTTGTCAGACGGTAGACGTCAACATGTTTTAAAAGGCAACTTTAGACTTAGGTGATATGAAGAACGTTGATTGATTCCCATAAAGCAAGCCAATCGTCATTGAAAGAAACTCTGTAACACTGGCGCTGCCTGTCTGAGAAGTCACGTATCTGACTGCGAGTCTCGGCGCAGTCATGCCAGTCGGCATCGAAGAGCCGAAGAAATGACGCTGTCATCGCGGAAAGATCAGAGAACAAGCCCAGAAGAACGACAAAATGCGTTGACATGGATTTCAAGGCCTTCGCGCAGCGGTCTCGAAATTCCCGAGACTGTCGAGCATCTGAGGCTTGTGCTGCCAAAAGCAAGGCTACTGGCAACAAATTGCGACACAGTCGCCGCGTGGGTTCTGAACTGGTATCAAACCTGATGGAGCTGTAAGAGAAGGCTTTGTTGACATTTCCTGAAGTCGCTTCCTGCAAAGCCCTCAGCTTGATCTGCCACTCAGTAGAGTAGGACAAGCTGGGCACCAGGCCATCTTTCCCAAAGACAATTTCGTGAAAGCGGCTGAGTGTCGGCTCGTTCTCCACGGGCTTGTGCAGCGCAATCCTCTGCAAAATGTGGGGTGAGTTGCCATAACTATAACATTCTGTTTCGAAACTGACTGACTCATGATAGCCCCCCCCCCCCCTCTCCAACACTTGAACAATGTCCTCACCGCGTGAGCGGTGTCTCGCCACTTCACGGACAGATTCGGCATGTGGTCAACTAAAAAGCAGGAGACTTTCGCCATCGCTGCCGCGCCGTCCACTGCCACGGACCGGACCTTCTTCAAAGTGTCCTGGAACCCTTGGGCATCGGGCGCGCCAGTGATATCAGTGAACATGGTGGCCAAAACCTGCACAACCTCCTCCTAAGCTTTAAGTGACTGCATCGTGAGATGCGAATAAACTTATCATTAATGTACAACAAGTCCAGGCGGGAGGCGGTAAGTTCAAACCAACAAACAAAATAGTTGATCAGACATCCCATCAAAGCGTCCGCTTTGTGTTTGCTCCAATCCTCATCGAGCTCTTCGAGCTTAGGCGTGCCAATCGACCAGGCTTGCACCAGCCCACTTTGGTGCTTCCCAAGGACATCGCCTCAGCAAAGCTATGTAAAGCCTTTTTGCCCAAGGGTTTAAGTGGGCAGCTGGCCTGTTGCAAAATAACTCCGGTTCAACTCAGCCGCGTTGTACACTAGCCCAATATGGTCAAGGCACACCGATAACGGCACACAACATGTGGAGCACGCTCGTCAAACGTGAGCGTTATGCTGTGACACTGCTTCAAGACTGCCACCTTGCGAGCCCTCACCACTTCGGCCATGACTTTGACCATTGAGGAAGCTGCTTTCCGTGTAACATCCTAGCAGGATTTGCCAGTGCGTGTGCAAGACAATGGACATGAAGTATTTCAAAAAAAGAGTGGCTGTGTTGAATGTAAGCTGACAACAAGGCAACAACCAATTGTCCTGACGAGACTGCTGCAAGAATGTCTCAGTGAGGCTCAAGGAACTCATGGTCTTGAAGGATACTGGGTTGGTGATCCAGCTCCAAAGCCTCACCATGTCTGGCAGCTGCGGCACATGTCCTGCCAAGAGCTTGTTGTCAAGTGTGGACTCAGCCAAGAGCTTCAAGGGGCTGGAAGTCGGGGAGTAATAGGCAATGATTGCGGCCTTGTGGATGTTGCTTTGCGCGTGCAATCGAAGACATGACGATTGCAAACTCGCCAGGCCCTCGACTTGGCACATTGCCTTAAGTGACAGTGCCTTCAATCTTGCTAAAGCCAAAGCAGAACTTTGGCAAGCAGAGCAACCCATCACCACTGAAAGGAAAACAT